TCCATATAGTATTATAAGTTAAAGATTTATGAATCGACTAAATATGTAGGCCAATGAATTATACAATTCGATTTTCATTCATAATTTTTATTCATTGATACGGTATTTAAAATAGGTTCGATGATATTTATTAGTGAATTCTTGAGATATCTCCTAGCATTTAATATATCTTGTTAAGTTGCAGTGATTCGCCTAATAGTGTGTGCACATAGAAATGATTCGACAGAGCTCATTTCTATTTATAAAGTTAATCAAATATTTTTAGTGTAATTAGGGTTGTCAGACATATTTAGAGCTTTGTGTGACGATAAATGGTAGTTGAGCCTTTTAACTAGGCTTCAATAAAGGATCGCATCTACACGGAAGCCTTATATCCGTAATATTTCATCTGTGAATATTACAGAGTATCCTTGACTGACCGACGTTCACAGTTGAACGAAGACATCGGACACATAGATAAAGTAAATATACGCGTATGAATATGAATTATTCATAGGCAAATTTAATTTTTTAACGATGTTGCGTAATGATAGAACTCAAATTTCGTGTTGTTTTTATGATGCTTGCAAAGTATATTAAATTACATTACTTAGTATAGTTAGACAGAATTGCTGTTTCTTATTTTACAACAAAAAAAAATGATTCGACTGCAAAATACGTTTTAATATAATGAAAGCTTGATAATTCGTGATACTCTAAACACAACATTAGTTTTTAAGTTTTACCAAACTGCTGATAAACATACTTATATATTTCAAAATACATACATATTATATTTAAATAAATTACACCCAGACACAGAACAAATGACCGTGCTCATCACACTCTGGCTTAGCAGTCAGGGTCACTAACCACAAGACCAACAGGCCCGTCTTATGATCTCCCAAGATTTGTTGTTACATAAAAAAAAATACGTCAGTAAGCTTGAAATTTTGACTTTTGAAATGACTCCTGAAAACTGACATTCGTCTGCGACTTGCCTACGTAGGTAAAGACGGAATGCTTGTGTGTTAAAAACTTTAAAAAAAATGCAGCTATATGAATTTATTTCTAAGATTATCAATATCTTCACAATAGTTTAGGCAACTGCTCCTCCAGTCAACATCATAGGCACAAGAACGCATCCATCATGCAAACTTAAAGGCGCGACATAACATATTATCAAAATAACAGGAATTCTGTTGAAATAAGAAACGTATCTTGTCAAAATCTTGACGGATCAGCCTCTTTGTAATAAGAAACCTAATCATTTTGATTGAAACTGGGGCTTACTTTATTAGAGATGTCTTTTTTATACACTGATTGGTTCCCGCCAGCTGTGAGGTGACATCGTCAGTGTCGTCTTCCAGCATCAGTTGACCAGCAGGAATCAGCTTGGAGCGTCGCTTCATCCTCGGTGTTTTTTTTTCATGTCAAACAAAAATACTCATGTTTTTTTGTTTGTTAGTTAAAAACAAATGGCTGTGATGACATTAATCATTACCTAAAGATCTTTAATGTTATAGTTTCCAATGAGAGTTTCTTTGTTACGATTCCACACTTAAATAACTCAGAGACAGTGATGATTAGCATCGCTATCTTTTGCATGCCTAGATGCCTACAAATAACTAAGTAACCAGGTATAGTATATGATAATAATCAGATCGACAGAAAAATATCCATAAATACATACAGGCAGATAAATATAAATCTATATTGATGCTGTCGAAGTCGCTGGTATACGGGAAAAGCTACATGGAATGTCTTGAGAGCCTGTAAATAAGTATAAATATAACAAATTAACTTTAGCATTTGAATTTAAAACAATTTATGGCCGTTTAACCACTGCCGGCGTCACTGAACCGTCACCCAACACAAGATGATGGCGCCTAAGTCCTGAAACATACATTTATTGGCCCCCTGACCACTGCATCCCTGTCTGTCACCCGAACGCCGCCATCCTGGCTGTCGAAGTTTCTTATAGTTCGAGTACAGACTACTATAACTCGGCCCGATATGCCGGCAATACGAAACGAGTGCGCTCTTGGGCATACTATACCTATTAGTGGAAAACTTCTCATCACACTGGAGCAACTTTTCATTTAGGGAATAAAACTCTTTTGATATGTTTTAGTGGATGAAAGCAATATGCTTTGTATTTGCGCCTTCGATCATACAAAAGAAAATTATCGTCGGTCAAATTACCGTTATCAGCCGATATACCTACGATCGCCCATCCGTTACTTTAACCGAGTCTACAAAATAGTATTACTCTCAACGGACAAACGGACAACGAACATGCTTTGAAGTTAAACTTTGACACTTGTAAATATTCTCACGATAGTTACACAATTAAACACTAAAAGAAAAAATATTTATAAAAAGCTACTTTTTTAAACTATCACAATTTTTGTACAATCTAATAAAAATACGAATGCCTATCGATCATACGCGCCAATTTTGACAGATCCCGCCAATTCCGAAATGTATTCGGATATTCTCATAAAATACACCAAAAGCTACGCAATCAAGACTTATTGTATGTGAATAGGTAACTTGATTTGTTTAGATTGATGCCGTTCATCCATTTTGTGGTTGCGATGACAGTTTATGAAACCAGGAAATTACTCGTATCAAATCTATTTTGGTATTTGGTTAATTTGATTAGTAAAATATAGTAACAGATTTCTGTGTTATTATCTAAAAGATTACTTTAGGAATGTTCTATTAAAGGAATAAACACACTTAGATAGTTTTCTTTTTTTTCTTAAAATGCAAATTTAAGTACTTACTCATTTTCATAAATAGGAATGAATTTAACCGCGCACAGTGTACTAGAGGCAAAAAACGAAAACTATTAACGAAAGCTCTATAAAAGCTTACTTTTTTGACGGGCCTGTTGGTCTAGTGATTAGTGACCCTGACTGCTAAGTCGGAGGTCGTGGGTTCGATTCCCACTCGGGACAAATATTTGTGTGATGAGCACGCTCGTTTATTATGTGTCTGGGTATAATTTAGCTATAATATTTATGTATTTAGAAATATATAAGTATGTTTATCAGCAGTCTGGTTACCATACTACAGGCTCTGCCTAGTTTGGGATCAGACAGCCTTGTGTGTGATGTCTGAGGTTATTATAATTACTATTTATCGTACGATTATGTAAATTAACTCAACTCACTAGTCACTCATATTATGAAAAGTATGAATGGGTAAATAGGTCTTTTTAGAGCAGTTTTTTGATTCAATAGACGGCAAATAGTAAGCTAATTCACTCCGAAACCTGACAATAAACTCAGATAAATACGTATGTAAGTAGAATGTATTAAAAAAGAATTCATAAAGAGTCAATTAGTTACTATCTATATACTATCTCTTTGCTCGGTTTACAAAATAAGTGAATAATTATTTGTAGAAAACTAGGGATTTTGTTTAAGTCAAGAGAGTATTCAGATGGTTTTTTAGCTTTACTAGTAAGTATCTTAGTATGGAAATATTTCTTGGAAGTTTTAAAGCTACTTTTTACTGTCAAGCCGCATTCGAAAGACAATAGAAAAACTTGATATCCTGGAGAACATTTGATGAAGTAGCCAGTATGTAAATAATGGATCGCTTCAGGAGGTACTTGTAAATATTTTTAAATTGGGATCACATGACTCACTTTCTCGAGTCCAACAGATTGTTACTATTTAATATAGATCGCTATAAAAGCGAATTCAACTTGTTCTTAACAATTTTTTTTTGTAGAAACAACCGAACAATAATTATCTTGCATAAACTCGACAATTGTTTCTATGCCTCTTACAGAGACGCCCGCTCACTGAGAACGTGCAACCAGGGCCTCAATTCTGCTATTTTATGTTAACGCCAAGCCACTGTCATACCACTGACACGCTATTGAGATGCCACTAACTAAACAACAACAAAAACAGCAACGATAATTCTATTAATTACTGTGTATTATGTCGTTGTAGTTTACCCATTTGTATCAATAAATATGATAAATCCATAACAACTTTATGGACCAAAATTAAAAAAACGTAATACATTTTCAAATTATAAGGAAATGATTTTATGTATTTTTCCAAATATGGTAATCTTTTTGATATTGCCACTGTAAAGATACTGAGTTAGTGTAGACTACCGATATTTATACCGATGCCAATGGCCACTCAATGGCATATCAATAGCATGTCAGTGGTATGACAGTGGCGTGGTGTGAACATAAAATAGCAGAATTGAGGCCCAGTTCCAGACTATAGTGCACCGGGGTATTTTCAAATTATGTGATGACAATACATTTCCCTATAAGTAAACAAAGTACATTTATCGTAACTATCTTTTATTGATATTACTTCACTTAAGAAGGCTAGTTTTATACTATTAATATAATGTACATGATACTTTTTTCTTCTAGTAACAACTTAATATAATAACAGATGTGACTGCAAAACCATATTGCCTATTTTTCCATGACGTTACCATTATACTACCAACTCTCCCATAAACCCAACAATACATACGTAACACATGCGCTGTATATAATATTAAATAAACTGGGAACCGCAACAATTGCAAAAACCATTAAAACAAACGGTATTGCAGCTGCGGGTTGCGGCCACTCGAGCGTGACGCTCGGCCCCCAGGCCCGCCTCCTTTACATGAACAAAAATCAACATAAATAACAATACACACCCCTATCTCAGACACTATGACACACTTAGCAACAAAAAAGCCCTAACAACAGCTTAAAAATACAATCGAAACTCATCCGTATGTATCCGAACAAAAAGACTAAGTTACCGCCAAAATAAGAGCGCCATTTCCAAAAAAAGTTCGACTAACCTCAAGTGTGCAACAATTGAATAATATTTCGTCTCTTTCGTCCATTCAATAGAACAGATCCCTCTACTTTTGGGGCTTTTATAAAATTTATTGACAAAGAAATGTATATAAAAGTTGTTGAAATGAAAAGGGACGTAGTTTAACTTTGATCGCGTGTGATACGAGAGCGTGCCAAAATGTTTTCCGAGCAAACGTACTCTAGGCTTTTCAGGCCTTGGGATGTGAGTGATAAAAAATCTGATAGACTAACTAACTGTGATAATAATTCAGAAATTAAAACAAAGAAAAGATTGACTGATGAAAGTAGAAGAGAAAATCTTCTAAGGAAAATTCGTGGAAGCTTCAAAAAATCTGAAACAAGTTATCAAGACGCTACTGTTTCTACAACTACAGAAGATGCTGATCAAGATATAAAACCAATCATTGCGAACTCTCCAGTTGAAAAACTTACATTGTGTTGTGACAGACTTCTTAAAGAACCAGAAAAGAAAGAAAAACAAATAAAACCCATAGAAGTAAACTCAGCCCCTCAAAGCTATGGACATCTTGCATCACTACCAGCAGCTTACAGCTCAACATTTATGCCAGACTATCTCCCAGGAGCTGATATCGCCCACGCTTTGGGAGTACCTCCGACGGATCCTTTGCTACTAGAATCTCTTGCACAGGGATACGCAATGGAGTTAGAATATGCAAGAATACTCCACCAAGAAAATGAAGCAAAACTAAACGCAAGAAAACAGAGGCCAAAGAAATATAAATGCCCGCATTGTCAAGTTGGATTTTCAAACAATGGTCAATTGAAAGGTCATATAAGAATACATACTGGTGAAAGACCTTACAAATGCGATGAGAAAAATTGTGGTAAGACTTTTACGAGAAACGAAGAGCTTACAAGACATAAGAGAATTCATTCTGGTGTTCGTCCATTTCCTTGTTCGACTTGTGGCAAGAAGTTTGGTAGGCGGGATCATTTGAAGAAACACACCAGGACTCATTACGTTCAAGCTGAAAGAATGATGCCTGTATTCGTGCCGTTGTCAGCAGTGCCTCATGTTGCTGGCTTTCCTTACCTTTATGGGTACTGACGGTCAAGGAACAGGAAATCTTCGAGAAAATTCGAAAGATGGAAAAAAGTTTGAAAATGTGCCAAGTGAAGACAAAATGGTGATCGAGCCGTTAGGAAAATTTTGACAATGAGTCTAAGAGCTGTATTAGGAACATTAATAATGTGTAAATAGAGAAATTGTTTATTAAAAATATATTTTTGTATCAAATATATTTGTCTTTGTAAATAATATCGGAGGTGGACATTTTAATGAACCTCTTAAATATAGTATATTTGTACATATATTAGAATATTTTATGCAATAGATAAAATATATTTTATAAATTCTAAATTAATGTTTCATTATTAAACCTGTATTTTAACACACTTACAATGTGTAGTTTATTGCTTCGTTTTCTGTTTACTTCTGGACACTGAGGGCTGTGTGCAAGTTTTCTAAAAACTTTTAAAGACACTAAAAACTTATTTATTTCAAAATTTTGACGAATTTGCGAAATCTGAAGATCCCGTTGGAGCAAAATAACTAAATACGTAGGTTTTTTAGTAAATGTGCTGTTTTACAGGTTAATTTTCTTATTATATGACCTTATTTAGGGTTATCCGTTCTTTGTCTGTAAATAAAAAATGAACAGGGAGATGTCTGGTTTGATACGTGCAATAAACGAATAAAGTAAAACAAAAATGTTAATTTCTAATCAAAATAGTTTTATTTAGTTTTAAATTAATCAATCTCTAAGATCAGTCCTCATGAGGCAAGCAAGAGTTTGATAATCACTATATATCTGTTAGAGATCTAATTGCCATTTTTGTCACAAAAATTACAAAAAATAAATTTTAGGTCGGGCAAGGCTGTTAATCGAATTGCGCTTATGTTTATTGTAGCAGTTGTTATTCCTCTGAAAACTATAACTTAAAGTATAGTGTATTAGTGGGAACATATTTGAGCTCCCGTATATCAGTAATATTTTTCAAATAGTATTTTCCTCTCATTTTCATTTATTAAATGACATTTAATAACGCCGTTCTTTTTTTCTTCACATTTACATCTTACGTTCATTTCTTATCTTGGTTTCTTTATGCCGTTCTTCCATACACCATTGACCTTCTACTTATACCACAATACTCTTCTCATGACTCTATATTCTTTTTGTTTATTTCACTTTTCTATTCATCCTCAGTCACTTAGCACCGTTTTTTTTTTGTTGGTTAGGTTCATTTTTACTGCCATATTTTACTGCCAGAGCTAGTTTAATCAACTAGTTTATTTGTATATTTAGATGATAAAATTGGGTCATGTGGTTGAACTACTGGTGGATTTGTAAGTTTTTGTGGCATAACGTTACTATTCTAAGAGCAAGTCTTCACTGGATAAGTTATCTTACAGTTATATTCTAATATTTTTTGAGATATTGTTACTGCCAACATTGTGTAACGAAATCGGCACTTGATGGTCCAGACCAGACCATGATAGTCTAGCAAACTGGAAGAAAGTGTGGTCCTTGTCAGTCAGGTTACGATAAATTCTTCAAACAAAACATTATCCCAACCCAACTCTTGGAGCGCCTGATCTGATCTATTTTGTTTTGTTTTTGTTTTTTTTTGTCTTTTATTGTTAAAAAGGAAACACGTTCTACCTTAGGTTTTATGTCTGTGTATGTATTTTTATGTATTAAATTAGCATTTGTATAAAAGGTCTCTCCATTGGATATATAAGTGTCATGCATATCTATTATCTGTGTAATTACCGGAAACTCAAACCATGAAAATGTTATCGCCCCACGATGTTGTAATTATGCTGTTGATGTGCTTAATATAAATAAATAAATAAATAAAATAAATAAATTATCTACTATTTTATATTCGGATATTATAGTGTTAGTAAATGTACTCCATTTACTGCACATGCACAGGAATGTCAGTTGAGGTAGATAATATGGTAGGGAATTTGCTTGTCATTGCTTAAAGCAGGATTATGCCATTTTTTAGCGCGTGAACAGCGAAAACAAAACGAGAAGAAAAGACAACAAGAAATACTGGTGTACAGACGAAAAATTAATTAGCCATTCCAAAAATAAGTTTTTTTTTTAAGTTTTTTATGCACCTAGGTACATGCTTTTAGATAGATACCTTAATTAATTATTATAAGCCGAATATTACATGCACTGCGGTTTAGCCGCGTTAGCGTGATGTTTTATGACCCATGTGCTAATTTAGTTTATAAACTATCTATGTGCTAAATCTAAAACCGTTCAACCGTTTTCGCGTGAATGAGTAACAAACGTCCATACACACATTCACACATTCCTCCTCACAAACTTGAGCATAATTAATAGACCTGTCCAGCGTGGTATAGTAGGCCAAAACCTCCTTTCTAAGGAGAGGCCTATGTCCAGCAGTGGACTATTAAAAGCTGTTGATGTGATGTGTGAATATGATAGCATATTCGGATCATAGTAATCAACTGAAAAATAGTGTAAGTAGGTAATTTAAATATTATAATTAATGGTGCAAAAAAGAAGTAAAATAATGTGAAATACACTTACCTTATTAAAAAACATATCAGTTTTACAGCATAGCCATACAATTGATTTTTACTTAACTTAATAATAAAATTCTGCGTGTACTGTAAGTAGGCGCTTAAGAGTCTTGGATTTATAAGGTAAAAAATCGGTAAAAAGTAGAGTTGGCCGTTTTGCAAATTAAGGTACGATATATACCTACAATTAGGCCGTTCAACTGCCTTATGTTAAAGATCCGCTTTAATTTAAACCATTTGTTTATTTCTAATGTTATGAACTACAAGATATTAAATATAAAATCCCACATTACATTCTTTTAATAAATTTTTTTCTTGATTCCAGAGATTCTCATAATTACAAAGTTTGGCAAATACTTTTATTAGTTGGCAGCTGGGCTATTAGAGACTGTTATTTATATCAAAGACTTCTCCCGGGCTAGGAATATATCCTGTTTCGCGGGCCTTTCAAGCATACCTACATGAAACGGACACAAAAAAAACACCCAGACTCAGAACACAATTTTTCCCGGCGCAGTAGAAAGCGGTGTGATGACCGCTTAAACCACTACGCCATCTGTGGAGTCATTGTAATAAATCTATCTCTGTGCTTTTCATTCAAATCCGTGCAATCTCTCTAGCGTGATGAATAACAAACAAAATAATTTAATTGGAAATAACAAAACATAATGATGTTTTGTTATTTCCAATTACGATACGATAACGTTAATAAACGGTATTAATGTAAACTATCCATACTTCCATACTTAGATTATAAATTAATGTGAAATTTGTTTGTTTGTAACGCTTTTACGCCTAAACAACTAAACTGATTTTAAAAATTATTTCGCCTACCAATGGGAAGCTCCATTTTTATAGACTACTTTTTACAAAAGCTAGTTCGTAATAATAGGTACGCATTAAACTGCGTGCATTGCTATCAAAGTTTAAGGTTTTTATGCGCTTTATTAGCGCATACAATATAAGCCAAAAATATGCCTTACGAATTTATGTTTCTAACGAAACGTCAGAACGCACCCAGGCCCCTTGAAACAAAATCAAACTCCATAAGAAAGACAAATTGCCTCTAAAAGTATTATAAAATCGATTAATCATTCATACAAATCAGAATCGATATTTATAAAAAGTTTGCGCAAACAAACTATCCTAAATTGAAGTACGGACTTCCGGCACCGTAAATACAAGAATGAACGTCGAAAATAATAAGACGGACATATTGTAAAGTTAAATGTTTTGACAAGTCAAGTAAAGAAATATTTGTAAAAACTGCGCACACTTGCGCCAATAAAAGAATTTTAGGAAATACATTTTAGAAGAAATAATTTTTGCGATATTAAACGACTATCAATTGTTGTACTCATAAAAATTCCAATTAACGAAATTTTATTCGTTAGTAGGTACTTAGTGTCAAAAAGTTTTTCAGGGATTCACTATTGGTTTTAAATTTTCATTATTTATGTGGAACTTTAAGAGAAAATAAGAGTTTCATACTTACATATATCAACTAACGTGGTATTTCTAAATAGATACGGGGCAAACATATTACACATTCACATTTTGACAACAAAAACGTGGTCCGATTCACGTAAGTAAAAATAAATAATTTGGAATTTGGATATATTTTGACAAGGAGTTATCTCGGATGAATTAGAATAATAGTCGCATACATGTTACACGAACTGCCTAGAAATCAGAGCCTTCTGACTACTGACAGAATTCCAATCATCATCAGCTTTTCGCAGACCAGTCAACTGCTGGAGATAGGGCTCTCCCATTCCCCACGTCACTTAGCTCAATTTTCGGACTCGATTTTTTCGTGCGATTATGTGCATTTGCACATAATCGCACGAAAAAATCGAGTCCTAATGCAGACGCTTAACCTAGGACTTGCAATAAAACGACTTTAGACATATACCGCGTTTGACAGGTCCCGGACATTTGAGCAATAAAATTGTAGTATTTGATCTGGACTCTATTGGTTTTATTGTCATCTAGCTATCTTCCTAAAGTATTTTAAGGTACCTTTAATATTTAAAACAAATAAAAAAAACCAAAACTTGATGGATTATTGCATCGTACATAGTTTTGCTTATAACCTGTTTTGTCTGTCAATAATTTTACAATACTTTTAAATTTATCCTGTCTACATTTAAAGATTTTGTTTAAAAAACAGCGCATCTCATAATACAGTGACATTATAAATTACCCAACAAAAATTTCGCGTCAACGCATCCGACAAATTAACAACGTTCCCACGATGATTTAAATCTTGCCCTAAATACGTTAAGATGTTGTGTGTTTTGTATAATTCGGACGTCCGTTTACTCAGCAGGACCCTTTTACTTAGAAATTGAGATATTTTACACTGGGGACACTTTTTAATTGGCTGAATGAGGTGTTGTCATTGCGCGCAACGTGAGTTTCTTTTATGTTGTCTGACTCATGGTTCAAATTTAAATCAAAGTACTATTTGAAAATAGAAT